AGAAAAGAGGTAGCTTTCACGTGATTTTCTTGTTTGACAACGGAGGAAACGGCCTAAAGAGAGCAAGAAAGTTGCAGAAAGATTTGCATGTAAGGTGTTGTTGTGGGGAACTGACAAAAAGTCCATAAAGTTTAATTTTCTTGGGAAAGTGAAGGGGAGAAAGAATGGCTGGAAACGAGTGGATAAATGGGTACCTGGAGGCGATTTTGCATACTGGGGCGACGACCATAGAGGAGCATAAGCCGGCACAGGTGAATGAAAGAGGAGGGCATTTCAATCCGACGAAGTATTTTGTGGAGGAGGTGGTGACGGGGGTCGATGAGTCTGATCTGTACCGGACATGGATCAAGGTGGTCGCCACCCGCAACACCCGCGAGCGCAGCTCCAGGCTCGAGAACATGTGCTGGCGCATTTGGCATCTCACCCGCAAAAAGAAGCAGGTCTTCCTCTCTCCCTTGCGTAGATGTTGTAGAACAATGAAACTTCATGAAGGAAAACTCATCCTTTATTTTAGTAATTGTTTTCTGGTTTTGTCAGAAAAGCTTATGATTATGGTATGTTTAAGGTAATTAAGGTTGTCTATTTACAATGGGGAAAACTTAAATTTTTTGCTTGTGGTGCAAATAGCTGGAGTCTGAAGAAAACCAAAGATTGGCAAAGAGGAGACGGGAACGGGAACAAGGACTCAGGGATGTCACAGAGGATATGTCTGAGGACTTGTCGGAAGGAGAGAAGGGAGATATTACAGGGGAAATGGTGCAATGTGAAACACCAAGGCAAAGGTTGCAGAGAAATTTTTCCATCTTGGAAGTATGGTCAGATGACAAAAAGGAGAAGAAACTTTATATTGTCCTCATCAGGTATCATCCTTGGTAGAACTTATTGATGGTCACTGTAAACCAAAGTACTAACTGCAATAGTTCATGCCTCATGTTAACAGTCATTGGCTTTCTTGTCTCTTGGCCTATGTTAAGAAGTCAGATGTTGCAGTCACTAGAATGATATCAAGTGTTCTGTTCCAAATGCATTTTATCATTGGATATTTCAATTTGATGCTCAAAACTAGAGGGAAGGGTAAAAACTTGTCAATTTAGAAGGGTTGCGACCAACTGGCTACTTTTTAAGGTGTTCTTGAGATTTCCAAAGCAGTAGTTGCACCTGAAATGCAAAAGTGATAGGAATTGTAGTTGAAAGCAACAAATATCTTGATAGTCATATTGGGAATGATGGTTATTAATCTTATAGTTAGCAACTTCTTTTGCAACCAATTGTAGTTGAAACGATTTGAGTTGTTGAACTAAAGACATCATCAAGTTGGTTATCTAACAATAGCTATAGATTTTTTTCCCCTAGAGTTGCATGGTGGATGTTAATATGCTTTACATCCCACTATAAATTCTGATTTTATAATTCAGTAAAGGCAATATCTTTCAAAGAATGTAATTTATAATTGCATTTCTACTTACAAACAGTTTACATGGGCTGGTGCGGGGTGAAAACATGGAGCTTGGTAGAGATTCTGACACAGGTGGACAGGTACCTGCAGCATCCCAGTGCAAGTAGAAAATATCATTATGTACCTTTTCTAACTTCATTTCCTTCTTTATGCTTTTATGAAAATAATTTCTCAGGTCAAATATGAGGTAGAGCTTGCCAGGGCACTTGCAAAGATGCCAGGGGTGTATAGAGTAGATCCTTTTACTCGCCAGATCTGCTCACCTGAAGTTGATTGGAGCTATGGTGAACCTACAGAAATGCTAACTGCAGGTGCTGAAGATGCAGATGGTAGTGATGTTGGAGAAGGCAGTGGAGCTTACATTATCAGGATTCCTTTTGGTCCATGTGCATGGTAAGTATCTTCATAAGGAGTTATTATGGCCCTATATTCAAGAATTGGTAGATGGAGCTTTAGCACATATTCTTAACATGTCTAAAGTTTTGGGTGAACAAATTGGTGGGGGCCAGCCCATATGGCCATATGTGATTCATGGCCATTGTGCCGATGCTGGGGACACTGCTTCTCTGCTCTCTGGAGCTTTGAATGTCCCCATGGTTCTAACTGGATACTCACTCGGGAGAAACAAGCTTGAGCAACTCCTTAAGCAGTGACAGCAATCAAAGGAGGACATCAACTCAACATACAAAATTATGAGAAGGATTGAAGGAAAGGAAATTTCCTTGGATGCTGCAGAACTTGTTATCACAAGTACTAAGCAGGAGATTGAAGAACAATGGGGACTTTATGATGGATTTGATGTCAAGCTTGAAAAAGTTTTACGTGCATGTGCTAAACGTGGAGTGGACTGTCATGATCGATTCATGCCAAGGATGGTGGTATATACTTTTCCCTTTCCATTCCTCCTCCCCCCCTTCCCCTTTCTATATCTTTTGTGGTTTCAGAGACAATTTATTTGTTATTTCTTCCAAGATTGTGAATTCAAATCTGACAATTTAAATCAATTTCTGTTGCACTTAGTCCAACCCTTTTCCTGAATCTTACCTGAATCTTATCAATGCCTAAGTTAGGAAAATGGTGTTTAATATTGCAGTGCCATGGAAACAGCATGGGTTGAGTTCAATCCTCCAAAATTTCTTTGGTATTACCTGCTGCACTTAATCAAACACTTTTCCCTTTTTTCTTTTTATTTTTTTTCGCTTTGCTTCAAGAACTTATTCTGGTAACTCGTCTTTTCATATTGATTTTTGACATATGAATGAAGCAGATATATGAACCGAAGTTGATGCATAAATGTGCCAATAAGATTCTGCATCGCATAAGCTATGAATTATCAACAACATTAAATGCCAGAGAACTCATTGAGAGTGGAGTTATCCCAGCATTCTTCCAAGCTGTCAAGCATGGCATAATGGAGTTTCTGGATGAAATAAGTGTAACTAGTCCATATATATTTTCGTGCACTGATGAAAATTCAAGGGACATATTCATGCATGCAATTGAATATCGTCAAGAGAAACTTTTCCTTAATCAAGATATCTCCAATCAAAACGTACCTCTGATTGCTTTCAGAGATAGGGACAACTACAATGTGCTACACATGGCAGCGAAGTTAGCTCCTGACACTTGGCTTGCTCGTATCTCTGGTCCAGCTACGTGATTGCAAAGAGCATTATAATGGTTCAAGGTCATTATTTATCAGTTCCTTCGGTTTTCATCTATTATGAAATGCACTGTTCCATTTTTGTCTCATACATCACTTAATCATTGCACCTTAATCTGATTGGTGAATTAGTGAAGTCTAATACATGTAAGATAGGTGGTCTAATGATAATGAATAAGGCAGAATCTACATCATTGGTTCTGTTACTGTTTTCCTTTTTCATCCAATGATTAAATTTCATTATATATGATTAGTGCATTTTTCAAATGAATGCAGGAGCGAGAGTTTCTTGTTCCAGAGTGTAAAGAATTTGTAAATCAAAATGGAGAAACTCCTCAGCAAGTGTTTAGTAGGGATCACAAGCAACTGGTAAAAGAAGGGGATGAATGGATGAAGCAAACAGCTCAATCTTATACTGTAGTTGGTGCCCTTATTGTCACCATAATGTTTGCTGCAGCCTTGACTGTACCCGGCAGTAACAATCAAGATACTGGCTTCCCCATATTCTTACAGAAAAGATTATTTATGATGTTTGTTTTGTCAGAGGCAATTTCTTTGTACAGTGCATGTATTTCAGTGTTGATATTCTTAGGAATCCTGACATCTTGCTATGCTGAAGAAGATTTTCTTATGTCATTGCCGACCAAGTTGATTATCGGCATTTGCACACTCCTCGTTTCTATTGCAACAATGATGGTAGCTTTTTGTGCTACTGTTTTAGTCATGTTACAGGGACAATGGTGGGTAGTCATCTCACTAGTTCTGTTTGCCAACATTCCGGTGATTGTCTTTTTGTTATTGCAATCTCGGCTTCTTATCGAGATTTTGCATTCAACTTATGGATCCAGAATCTTTATTAGGAAAAGATTCTTTACAAGAAAAATGATGTCATCTATGATTATAAGGATTAAATTTACAAGGAAAATGATGAGGAGAAGGGCGTCGTTAACTACTCCTTTTTATATTTCTATTCATATGGTTTAACTCTATATATGTTTTGCAGCTGTAATTATTGAAATGTGTGATGACATTTACATTTGATGGGTAGGATTTCAAACTTTTTATTTCCAATTTTATTAAAGGTTTTACTGTTGAGTTAAAGTGTTGCTTTGGTTGATTTTTTTTTTAACAGGTGATTCATTCCTAATAATTAATTAAATATTGTGGGTGTATAAAGATGAAATTTTCGTCATATCTTAAATAATTAATATTATAGTTAATTGTCTCTTATATTTTTATATTTTTTTGGAAATTTTATATTTTTTGTTTTTTGATAAATTAAAAATATAATAATCAATCAAAAAAAAAAAAAAAGAAGTAACATTAATAATTA